CAAAAGAAAATGCCAAATTAGGCTTCAAAAGGAGCTTAAAGGTGCATTCACACTGAAAGCATCTTGCAGTTGGAGCGATATGAAAATCAATCACTAGAAGTGGCTGTGATGTCAGGCTTTTTTTCAATTAAAATGAAATCTAAAGAAAATAAGGTTGATCAAGGATGAAGTAAAAAATGCCCTTGATTGGTTTGTAGGTGGCTTTTCATTAATAATTTGTTCTTGTCCTTAGCTCCAGACCCCGGCCAGCTATTAGCTTGGAGATATGGCTCTAGCCAGTTACTACCTCTTCACCATTATTGTGCTCTCTCTTCCTCACTGTACCACTGTCTTGCTCACATTTTCCTGCACTTAGGTATCTAAGCTGCAGAGCGGGACACTGGCAGCTGCCTCTTCCCTATTCTTTCCCAGGGTTGTTGCTCAGATCTCCAGCTGCTCCTATCTGAGCTGCAGAACACCCCTCACCTTACCACTATTGTCATTCCTTCCCTGATGTGGGATAGTTTTGGGTCCTGGTCAGACAGAAATACCCTCCAGATGTAGCTCCTGGAGGAGCTGGTGGTACTCTCCATACCCTCATCATCTCTGAAGAGTATTTTTGAACCTGGAGACGTTGACGGCTTTGTTTGGCTTTCCAAAGTAAAGCACTGCGACCCTCTCCATAATCTCACAACCCTAACCCTAATGCTAACCCTCTGCCATGTTGAGGTGGAACCGCCAAGCACCATATTTAATGAGGTGGTGGAGCTTGTTGCCTGCTGCACAAATTGCTATAATGTCTGCTGAGTGACAGCGCCCGAAAGTGGAGAATTAGTCTGAGAAATCTTGTTCAATGTGAACAAACCATAAAATAGCATCCTGTTGTTGATTGCCAGGATCGACAGGGTACAAACAATTTGAAATGTTGTTGCATACCTGCTGCCATTGCCAAAAAAAGACAGCAGTTGTGGTTAAAGGCAGTAAAATAAGCACTTTATACCAGGCTAGTGAAGGGAAGTCAAACATTGTCCTGGATGGTTTGGATTATCATTTGTTTTGGTTATGTTAACGAAACAAGCAGGTTTAACTCACTTAAAGGTTGTAGTTATATCCTCTGTATAATTGACCCATGACAAGGTCTTTGTTTGGCTTTGGCAACAATTTCAATTTTACTTGGTATGTGCAGCACTTTGTTAGCCTGACGTAGTCCGACTCAATTCTAGTCAGAATGAGTCTGATGCTGCTCCATAGAGCTGTGATTATGGGGCGTGTTTCAAATGAACCAGGAAAAAAATTGCCTCTGCACTCAATTGGATAGACCTACAACCAATAAGAGCAACAGAGTGCGTGACGTATGTTAAGCGACGCATAGTTGTTGTCGACAAAAATCAAAGCGTGCAGTTGCACGCCTAGAATAAGAAGATGAGCCTTGATCGCGTTTCTCTGTTCCTCTTTTAAAATTAATTTGCTGTCGATATCTTCTAGAACAGACCTAATAGCAGAATCTACTCACCTCAACTCTCCAGCGGCAGCCATTATTGTTGTGAACCAAGCGCGCTTTGGTCACATGGTTGATTACGTTACTCTTGATCATCTGTCCATCATCGTATAAAGCCCGCCCCGACAATTTGATTGGATCGCCAGAGAGTGGGCGATCATACTCTCGCTACTATGGAGCAGAGCCAGACCGAACTTCCCGACCTCAAACGTTGTGGGCGGGACTAAGTTCGGAATGGCACCCAGGCTAGCACTTTGTGGCAGCTGTGGTTGTTTTAAAGGGCTTTATAAATAAAGTTGAGTTGAGTTTTGCGCAGCAAAGAGCAACTTTAGATCATCCTTTGCTTTTCTTTAATACACATTTTTTGATTAGCTAGGTGTGGATTTCAGGCTGCGAAAAAGCATTATATTTGTGTTAGCCACTTCACAAATGACAGTTTTGTGGATTGAAGGGAGTTTGACAATGGACTAATAGCAAGATCATCACTAAAAGCACAATTCCAACACCTTTGTCGATGGCCGAGGTGAGCTTCATATATTTTATACACATCGTCTTTGCATTAAGTAGTTTTAAATTGCAGTGTGTGAATGAGAGGATGAGTGGGATATATCTTACCAAGCCAAAACATCTTCTAAGGGTCTCCGTAGTTGATCCAATTCTTCAGAAAATTCCTGCGTGCGTTGCAGGATCATTTCGATAAGTTAACTAAAGTTCAATTGTATCCTATGCCATTTTACAAACCCAACATTGTATAAAACAAAATACCGGTGACAGGGCTGCCCTCTGTCACCGGTCCTGTTCATAACTGGACAGGATTTCTAGGCGCAGCCAAGGACCAGAGGGGGTCTGGTTCGGGGACCAGCGGATCTCGTCCCTGCTTTTTGCGGATGATGTAGTTCTGCTGGCTCCCTCCTGCCAAGACCGACAGCGTGCGCTGGGGCGGTTCGAGTGTGAAGCGGCCGGGATGAGAATCAGCTCCTCCAAGTCCGAGGCCATGGTTCTCGACCGGAAAAAGGTGGCTTGTCCCCGTCAGGTTGGAGGAGAGTCCCTGCCTCAAGTGGAGGAGTTCAAGTATCTTGGGGTCCTGTTCAGGAGTGAGGGAAGAATGGAGCGCCTGCGAGTTCACGAGCCTACGGAAACCGCGGCAGACCAAATCAGATGAAAGTGCGCATTCAGCACGGCATAGAACTCATGCTCTTCCTCAACACTGAAGTCCTGAGACATTTTTCTTTCGTTGTTTCTTTCTTTGCACAGGTAAACAGCACATTTCTTCTTCTACGCTTGCATTATCGGCAGAGCAGACGCTGAATGCGCACTTTCATCTGGTTTAGTCTGCCGGTTTCCGTAGCGTCATGAACGCGCTTTTAGGAAATCCTATACACTACTGTTTAGGCTCTAAAAACATTCTAAATGACTTCGTTTCGAGTAAATTCTGGATGCTACCCACTCAGGACACTTGGATTACATTGGACGAGCAGTATGGAGGAATATTGACACGTTTTTTGTGGACTTTTATGGACCTTTCTGCCTCGGGCGCTGGGGACCTCCATTATTTGAATGTCAGCAGACAGCAAGAAGCCTCCCAGATCTCCAGAGTGTTGTTCAGCATGGGGGTAAGTAGAAAATGAAGGCTAATCATGTTTTGGGTGTCCTTTAAGCTGCTGACTGCCACTACCTCGACGCCAGAGTGTTTGCCAATACTGGGTACTCTAGCCATGCTTAGTTTAGCAGAGTCTTACATGAGTTTTTGTTTTGCCAGTTTTAGGTTCTCTAGCCAAGCTGAGTTTTGCTGAGTCAAACTGAGTTTTTGTCAACCTGAGTCTTAACTTTGTTTTTGTTCTTTGCCTCTCGGCAGGAAGTCATCCTGCAAACTGGATTTTTGTGGACCATCTCTTTCTGGAAGGATAACTGAGCTTCTAACTGAGCTGGGGTTCCAAAACAGAGGGTTTGGATCCACTTTCCTCAACATGTTGTTTGAGCTTCACACTGAGCAAAGGTTTAATCTGCACCACAGCCCGTTCAAGTACTGCAGGAAATCTGAGTGGCAGTCAGCTACTCCGTTCACCAACAGCAGACTGAGTAAACCCTGTCCGCCCACCATCAAGAAAGAAAATCACTGGAACATCCCACACAGACTGTATTCAATAAAGACACCTTTTCTGGAAACGTGTGTCACACTCCGGGTTCTATCTGGGTGCAGGCCAGGTTTTCTCTCTCTCTCTCTCCTCAGCAGGGATGGACGGGCAGGTGCACTGCATCTGAGCTGATCACCACCCTTCTTAAGGAGCTGGAACCAGGAGAAGGGGGTCAGTTCGTTAACGCCACAGCGTTGGTAACAGACCAAACCCAAACCTAGTTCTAGTGATTCTTAAACCCTTGTCTAAATCCAGTTCTGATCCTTTTTCTGCAGAACCCTTGTTTCTGACCCCTGGACCCAGCCGTGAACCATAGATCTTGGACCCTCCGCCTGAAAACAACCAGGAACCCGAGAAGGATCTCGGGTTATCCACCGCTCAGCCCTCCTACCTGCGATCACCTGCCTGTCCACCCTTGAACCTCCTACCAGGGAGAGAGTACTGGTCAGTACTCGGACCACCAGGGACACTTCCCCCCCAAGACCGGACCACAGCCTCTCTACAGTGAGTGTCAGTCCACCATAATCCTCCAGCAACAGTTTCCTCACATTCACCAGTCTCATCTTCTCTGCAGAAGCCCAGAAGAACCTGACCAGACCTTACAGCTTCCAGTTCACATCCACTATCGTGTTTTTTCAATAAAACCTCTTAAACCTTCTCCAGCCTCTGAAGTTAGCCTTGTCCTGAGTCACATTCAATTATGACAACGTGAGTCTACAACCTTTTCCTCATCTTCAAGTCAAAGAATCTAATTTCCCACTGAGCCTGAACTAACCGCAGTGTCTTCCCCTCACTTTCTAGTTCCGGTTTGACAGTGTTCAGAGCAGCAATGGACTCATCTCAATATTCTAAATAAACCTATTAAACTTTTCTCTGGTCTCTCTGTTTAATTAATTAATTAAATCATGACATACAGAGTACATGTAGTGGTGATATAACAGGAAAGTGGTATTTTTTGTTTGGGATTCAGTTCAGAAGAAAAACTTTGAGCTCTGCATCCAACAAAGAAGTAAATACAAAAAACAGTTCCAAATAAAATCTACCAACTTCCCTCTTTCCAAAGAGAACCCAATCACTTGTCTGAGTGCTTGAATTCCAAAACACAAAGCCAGTGATTGAAGCTTAGCCTAGACTGGCTTGTTGATGTATTTTGAGAGCAGACAGCACTGATTGTAATCCATGATTTTGAAAGACTGTTGATTTAAACGACCTGAAAGCTTTTTATACCAAAATCCCCAAAACAAATACTTTTAAATCTAATACAGAAAACATAATTTGATTCCTCCTCGTTCTCTGTTGCATGCTTTCCCTCGCAGAGACGCAAATAAATCGAGTAAAGAAATCAGAGGTGGCACTGGTGGGTGGGGCGGCATATAGGGGAATGCTGCAGCACCTGTGAAGCAGTCAGGCTGATCAGAGCATCACACCAAAGCCTCTTTCCCCTTTGGTAACACCTCCTTCTTGACTGCATGCAGGCAGCAGAGCTGTTACCTAGATACAAGCCGGAGACTGAGCGACCTGCGCTGATGAGCATCACTTAGTTCGGCTGCAGACGCAGGAGCGGCTGGCTTTTCTCCGCAGGATGGGGATGAAACGCGTCCAGGCGGAGAACAGGAGCGCTTCTCTCGCGTTGTTTCACCGCTAAAACCCAGAGAGGCTGCGCTCGGTGCGGAAAGTGGCGACTTAAAGGTAAGTTGGAGTTTAAGTTGTCTGATGGCAGCGGGTTCCTGTGGATCCTGCAGTGGCGCGTTTCTCATCGCAGCTTGTTTGGACTCACTTCAGCTGCTTTCATCAGACATAGTTTAAAACTTGGGAAAGAAGGAGTCATTTAAAGTTTAAAGCATTTAAAATAAATTGAAATATTTTATTTTATAATGGATTATATTAGTGAATTGACGGAACAAACACAACAATCTAGCTCTACATAGATCCAAAGCCTCCAGAACAAATGGTCACAAATTCTCTGACATTTTTTTAATGCAGCATTATTCTTTGTTTTTATTTCTTCTTCCCTTCAACGTTTTTTCAATATTGGTCTTCATGTTTTTTTGTGTTTTTTTTTTTTCTTTAGCAAATCTGCATTTCAACATTAGATATTAAAACAAATCTACATCTGTTACTCAAGATAGTTAATCTCAATTATACATTTATTTAACACTGATATTATTCAAGTGTTAATTTCTGATCGTTTTGAGAATACTCCTACTGTTAACAGTTGATGTAAAAAAAAAAAAAAGCTAGTTTCCAAGATACTCAAATGAAACAAGAATAGTACAAGCAGAAAAACAGGAATGTTGTATAATTGGCTACGAAAACAATCACATGAAGACGGCTGGTTTGCAGGTGTCCAGATGATGGCTGATAAATGAAGGGTATACTATCACAGAACCTCACAGAATGCTGTATCCAAGCATGGAAAGTTAAGTGGAAGGAAAATGTCTGGTGTAGGAAAACAGCTGTGTAAGAAACAGAAATTGCTGTAGCCTTGTGAAGATTGTTAAGAGAAGTTAATTTAAGGATTAGGAGGCGATTCATCAGTTATAGATTGGAGCCTCTAGAAAACACGGCTGTGTCTATGACAAGAGCTACAACTAGCACACTCCTGGTGTTAATAACTCCCAAACAAGAGAAAATATCACAAGCATCTTTCTATAGCTCAATTTAATTCAATTTAGTTAATTTCTATAGTGCCAATTCACACAACCTATTCTCATTATGAGTGCGTGTGAAATCGTACGAAAAGTTATGCACCGTAATTTCGTACGTTTTGGACGTTTTTTTTGTCGTATGCGCATGCGCATCTGACGCATTCACGAATATAGAATATAAATTACAATTAGCCCTAACCCTGACTCAAACCCTAAGATATAAAACAGCAAGCAACGTAGTTAGAGACATGAATAAGTGATGATCGCACTGTTTTTCCCAGTTTTACGTCCGTCCGCGGATCTGCTTTTGTTTTCTGTCTGCCAGCGCATGCGCACTGATGTGGTTTTTTGAGGAAAACCTACTATGAGAACCTACTATGAGAAAAAGCACAGAGAGCAGAACGTTAGAGATTGAACTAACAGAATCTGCAGAATAGGAGAATAGAGATAGAATTAAGCAGAATGATGAAATGGGGCACCCTATATCCTCCAGCATTCTAAGCCTATAGCAGCAGAACTATAGAGATAGCTCAGGATAACCTGAGCCACCCTAACTATAAGCTTTATCAAAAAAGGAAAGTTTTAAGCCTAGCCTTAAAAGTAGACAGGGTGTCTGCCTCACGGACTAAAACTGGTAGTTGGTTCCACAGGAGAGGACCCTGATAACTAAAAGATCTGCCTCCCATTCTACTTTTAGAAATTCTAGGAACCACTAGTAAACCTGCAGATTGAGAGTGAAGTGCTCTGTTAGGAACATCAGGAACAATCAGATCTCTGATATCAGATGGAGCTTGGCCATTTAAGGCTTTATATGTGAGAAGGAGGATTTTAAATTCTATTCTGGATTTAACAGGAAGCCAATGAAGAGAAGCCAGGATAGGCGAGATATGATCTCTCTTTTTCATTTTCATTAGAACTCTGGCTGCAGCATTTTGGATCAGCTGACTACAGTTTGTGGACTTTCTGATAGTAAAGAATTACAATAGTCCAGCCTTCTTACGACAGAAATGTAGGACAGATTTCCCAAAATTATCTTATCAGATGAAATTATGTCTGCATTTCATTTGGAAATTGACAAGTCTCAGAGGCTGGAGGACGTTTGGGCTAGAGTGAAGTTCCCTCATTCAGTGATTCATAGAAATGTGTTGCTGCTTGAAGATTTCCATAGGTCGTAGTATTTTTTAACAGAAACTGATGATCATTGTGAAATCCAAAATCATTCTACGTTTATAATTCTTAAGCTGCTAGTTGGACTCTGACTGCAAACGTTTCTTTTCTCTATTTACTAGTTGTGTTAAAACTTGCATTAGGCTTCTTCTTCAACCCAAGATGTATTATCCAGTTTTTTTTCTAGCAATCTTTTCTTGAGAGATAGTGGAACCTAATTGTTTCTAATGACAACCTCATATGTTAAATTGTTACAGAGTATACCAGCCCCTTGTCACCATCAGAAAGTTATGCCTCAGCTGATTTCTGGCCTGGAATGCAGAATTGAATTCTGTTCTCAGAGCAGAAGTTCCTACCTGTCCTGGTAAACTAGTGACCAAGCTCAAGCTCGATTCAAATCAGTAAAGACACTTAAGCTGTAGTGGAAGTGCTCTCACTATAATAAGTGCTATCCGAATAGTGCTGGTAGTTAGGAAGGAGCTAGGACCATGATGTGGGATGCTACCTCTCACCATTGCAGTTAACATAAGAACCCCCACTCATCGCTATCCCCTGGTTGGGGCTGTATGGGCACAGCCCACCTCACAGATTTCACATAACTACATTATACTGTGGCATGTACCCTGTGTGACAGATGCAAATGTCCTCACCTTTATATGTTTCAGAGTTTATTACAGAGAGCTTCAAGCCTTTGCTACATTTTTGTAAAAAAAAAAATAAAAAATAAAGTTATTTTATGGAAGGCTGTATTCCCAATTGACCATGTCTGTCCGTCGCATTATGACGTCCATCAGGCTGAAGGCTGTCTGAGTAGCACAGCTGAGCTCCTTTCTTACCCTGGATAGTGATCTAACTGTTGACCCAGCAGAAGGTGAAGGATTTGAGCTAGGAACATAAGCTAGGAGGTATTTCCATCAAGCCTGTGACTTTATCCGCCCCCATCAGGAAGCACTTCCTTGACCTGGACTGGACCCCGCCTGCTCAGTTAACATCACTCACATTTCCATGATATAAGACACATTACAGTCATTTCTGTTCAAATATGTGACAAAATGTCTGTTTTAGCAGCTAGTCTTCGCATTAACGCTTGGATACCTGTTGTAGCTAATAAGCAACAAACCTCTTGTATTACACTGCAAAAAATTTAAATCTAAATAAGTCTTCTTTTTTTTTAAATAAGAGTATTTTTTTTTTCTTGAATTGAGGAGGTAAGTGAGACACTTTGCAATTAAAACGGATAATGTACATTTAAAATAAGAAAAAAAAAAACTGCAGTCTCTTATTTCAAGTGCATAATATCTAATCTTATTTTAAGGGTAAAAATGCTCATTCCATTGGCACATCATCTTATTTTCCTAGTCATATTAAGGGTAAATTCACTTATTTAAAGACGTGTACTCAATCAGTGTATGCAAATAGCCACCATAGCATCTCAGTGAAGGGGAAAAACATGCACAAAATGTCCTTTTTGTGTACATGTATATCTCTTCTGTCATGATTTTATCAAGAGCTCAGAGCCACATGCAGATAAACCAATCCAGAGAGACAGGGGGTAAAGTTTAACAGGTTTATTGAAAAGTTTTGGTGGAGATTCCAGTGGTGCTCCGAACACTGGTCACCCGGAACTAAAAGGTGAGGGGAAGACACTGCGGTTAGTTCAGGTTCAGTGGGAGAATTGATTCTCAAACTTGAAGAGGAGAAAAGGTTGGTAGACTCATGTTTCCAGAGGTTAGGTTGACTCTTAGACACCAGTAGTTGAGGAATGTGTTCCGGTGTTTGTCTCAAATGGTGGAGGGCGGACAGGGTTACCAAGAATGCGGTTGCTTGTAGATGAACGGAGGAGACTGACTGCCACTCAGATTTCCTGCGGTACTTTAACGGATTGTTGTGCAGATGAATCCCTTGCTCAGTGTGCAGCTCAAACGACTCCTCAGGGAAAAGTGGATCCAAACCTCTGGTTTGTTTCCCCAGCTCGGTTTGAAGCTCAGTTGATCCTTCCAGGGAGAGAAGGTCAGAAAAATCTAGTTTGCAGGATGACTTCCTGCCGAGAGACAAAAACAAAATAACAATGTTAGAACTGAGGTTGAAAAAACACAGACCACACAGACTGGAGTCCTAACAACTTCAGGCTTTTTTTTTTTTTTTTGGGATAAATTCTACATAGCAAAAAATTTTATTTTCGATTGCGAAGGACTTTGTCCAACCTTCTCAAAGAAGTGGGCTGTGTTCGAACATCTACCCTAATCACTATATAGGGCACTACACTATATAGTGGTTACGCCATTTTAGATGAGGTTCTAAATGTTTAATGGATGAAAAAGTAGTGGACTTGAAATTTCCCACAATGGACCTTGAAAAGTACTGATCATCCATGGTCACGAGACGGGCATATATATCCCAGAATGCTTTTTGACAGCTCTCCTCCCAAAGCATCATGCCATTTGTGGTGGCAGCAACAAGTAAAGATTTCGCAGACACCATGTGGGGAGGCGGAGTTAAATGGCTAAGGGGGCGAAAAGCAGTGATCATCTGTTCAAACGGTAAGTTAACTGAGTTCACTATAAAGTCCACCATATGCCCCCGCTCTATATAGTGATTGAGGGATTTAGGGGTTGGAGCAGATGTTCAGACACAGTGCTGGGCAGTGGCGGCTGGTGAAAAATATTTTTGGTGGGGCTGATATAGCCTAGTGTATGTCTCCAACTAATCCGGAATAAGAATTCAAATAAACAATTGGACAATACATACAATTACAACAGTAATGATTTAATTTACTATATAATAACAGTAACAGTGATGATTTGGGTCACTGTGACGGGGTTCTTTGGCCTCCAAGAATCCAGGCTCAGTCGGGTTACCGGTGTTGGTGATTTA